AAGCCCATCACCAGCGAATTAAGTAAATAAGAAGTAGACATGTTTGGGTTAGCTGACCGTGATAACTTTAAGTAGCATACCCTGTGTGGCTTACCATGTAGAGAACAGCTGACAGCTACACTATCGTCATTGACAAGTACCAAAGAACCAATTAAATGCCAGTGCGGTAAAAGTGCTAAGCTAACCGCACAAAACAGGAACTTCTGTAATCCCCGAACATGCCTACATCTGCTATATGAACATCTCAGTTGTCTGCTGGCAGATAACTGAAAAATCTGTAGGTTTAACTGATTTCCAAAATTAACGAAAGCTGTTCGCTAATGAAGAACAATGAGACAGATAGGGAGTACAATGTACAATATATCATGTTTTCTGCAACGTCTTGAATCCTCTATCCTCCAAACCCACACTAAAATATAATACCACCGTATTAAGTTACAAAGATAAACCTTTCAACTTAAAAAAATCATGAAAAAGCTATGTAATGTAGTTCGAGTGACTGCTGTGTAATGTTGTTACTCTCGCTAGGTGCCATTTATTTAAACCAAACTGAAGTCTGGCCCGTCTTCCCGTAACCGTTTGCAGTATACCACCCACGATGAGTGTAGTGAGGATTGCCACCTGGTACATCAGGCTTGAAATTGGTCGGAGTACAAAAAGAACACGGGCTACGTCCTGATCCGGAATGGACACTGGGAAAAAAAGGACCCTTGTTAAAGTTTGCATTTGTGGAGTTTTTATCATTAAAACCGTATCCGGTAGGGTAAGAGTCGCTCCATGTTACCCCCAGGGCCTCCCCCAAGGCAAATCGAACATATGTCCCACTCTCTCCTTTCAACGCTTCAACTACAAATTTAGTTACATGCATACGACCTTGCTGTCCGCCATTAAAGAGGTTATGATTTAAAAATGTAACTTTGTAAGGGTTTTTACTTAGAAAAATGCGGTATACATATGCATATTGATCGATTCCCCCAGATGCTGGGTTATTACCAGCAGCCATGATCATGTAATTAGCATTATTGGCAATTTTAACTGCGCCATGCGGTAGATTAATCACGCCATTTGAGGAACTGCGTCTGTTAGGAAGCCAGCTGTAACCAAAGGGATTGTTCATGTTGGGTATTGCCTTGTTGTCCTTGTTGTTGACATTTCCATTCGGCGTATGAACGTAGCCGTAACTTGCTAGCATCCACCCTCCACCAGCGAAGCTCATGTCGCAGTATGTTTCAGCGCGGGCCGTTTCATTTGGGGGCTGTATCCAATACATGCCACTGCCCTGACTTTCTCCGGCGTCAAGGATTGCTTGAGCGTTGGGTGCCGGGTTCTCTTTGGTTCCCAGTCTGCTCGTCCTGTCGCACTGAGCACCGTAAAAGGAAGGTGGGCATTTACATCGGTTGTCTCCAATGCAAGTGCCGCCGTTTTTACAGGGCTTTGCTGTACACTTGCCTGAAAAAAAAAGAAAAGGGCTACTTTATATACTTTTACGAAGCAGATAAGACTCCAATGAAAGTCACTACTAAGGCATATTACTTGGTAAAAATATCTTGAACTGTTGAATAATGTTTTACTCCCAAAAAAGTTCAGTAGAAGGAAAAAAGGTTTTATCAGTTAATTGTACAGGAAAACCCTGACCATTCAAAGCAGGCCATCCCCATCTCACCATTATTTGTTCTGTCACTGATATGGTAGTTAACGTGAAGGCTAAAATCCCAAGCAATCACTGCAAGTATTCCATGTAAAATTATATTTTCATTATACTTACTTTTCCCCTTCTTTTGACAAAACGCTCCAGTGTATCCTGCCGGGCACGTGCACCACACAGCTGACGGCCCAGCACACTTCCCCCCGTTGCGACAGTAAAGGTCTTTGCAAACTGAAAGAAAATGTACCTCAGCTTTGATGTTTTATTAACACCGATACACTTTAATTTAACTTCTTCCAAAATGTAAAACACTGCCTCTCTTCCGATGAAGTAATAACCAAAAAACAGAAGCAATAAGGTGCAACACTGGGTTGCAACATTGTTGCGGCATTGGTTTGAATGGCTGTAACATTGTTCCAACATTGCAAGGGGTGTTGCGCTAAAATCGTCCTTGCGAATCGTCCCGTGTAAAATATCACTCTGTCAGTTTTTCAGTTTTTTTATGCCTTCTGTGGCTTTGCCCGTAAACAATAATTTATTTTTTTGTTTATAAGTTCTCCTTCAATTACACTAACCGTCGCATTCTTTACTGCTACAGTAACTGATAAGAGACGCTTTCATTTCTTCGCATTCTGTGGCTGTGATGTTATTTTTACAATGAATCATGTCGGATAAATTTTTGCATCTTTCCACAGCTTCTTCCAGTTTATCAAAACACTCCAGACAGGATGCTAAAAAAGATAGGATTCAGAGTTAGAAGATGCTTTTAATGACGAGAGAGGGCTGGGTTTATTCTAGATTCTTGATTTTAAACTTTTGGAATACTTTATTTCTCTTCATTTAAACGCGTCAACAAAGCAATTTGGTTGTTAAAGTTCAATGCGGCAATAGCAATATCAATATCCCAAGTAGTAATGTAGGAGGCCCAAGACAAATTTACGGCAACGAAATCTAGCCCTCGAATTGATAGATTCCCCTTTGGATCGTCAAGAAAGAACCTTAAAAGCGAACTTTTACCTTCCAGGAATAGCTCTTAATGCAAAAAAAAAATGTCATGTCTATGGTTTGATAAAATTGGTCATAATGGTGTGAGCGTTCATTATGATCTAAGTCCGGGGCTAATTTTTTTGCAACTTGTTTTGCAGAAAAATTCCAAAACTACGAGATACTTCGGACGCCAAGAATAAAGCCTCCTTCCGAACGTTTTATATCCCCTCAGAAGAGTTTAAGGCAACGATGATCTGAATTAACTAGCACTCACCTTTTCCGCTATGGGCGCTGCAAAGCTTCTTTAGCTTTTGATCGAAGTCGGTACAAATTTTGTCAACGTTTAGGTGTGAACTGTTTGATCTGCGACATTTTGCAGTGGTCGCCGCAGCCTGCTTTACACATTCCTCGTAACTCATATACTAAAACAAAGAGTGAAAAGGCGCCGGAATAACCAGCTAGCTATTTAGTAACTGGAGGTTCTCATAAAGGGGCACTGTTGTTGTGTCTTTTCCTCACTACCAGTAATACATATCCATTCTCACAACATGCTCGGCAGTACTGGCCTTTCCAATCATCAGTAGTACAAATAAAAGAGAGTGGGAAGAAAATTTAGTGCAAGATCATTCACGTAGTTTAGCGAGTCACAAAATAGATAATAATGCCCGCCTGAGTAAAAACCTGTGGATCCGAAAAAAATGTGTTGGGGCAGAAAAGTGGTAGCGTCAAATACAGAGAAACTGCGTGCGTCCTTTGGGCGAAGCAATTTTGAATCTGATTAACAAATAAAATACTATTGATTAAACCTTTCTAAGAGATGATAGAAAATGCTGAAATGATGATTCGCTCGCCGGAAGCTGCATGCGATAGAAAAATGAAATAAATACTCTGCTGCTTAAGTGACAGCTTCTAAACCACCATTTCTTGTACAATGAATGTCATCGACTGGCCCGATTTTGTCAAGAAATGGTTGTTATACTCACCTCATCACACTTCTTCTCTCCTTGCACGACGCCCGGTTGATGACTCGATGACTTAGCAGAAGACAATTGACTTAATGCAATACAGGAGGTAAACGTGAGGAAGGCTAAAATGCGCATGACGAGATGCAGCGTGAATCCGTTGAGTTGAACCTATCATGGATCAATGTTCAGTATTAACCACTAAAACAATATTATAGTGAAAAAGAAAGCTGATTTAAGTAAGAATATGTGTTTGCTTCAGCAACATTAATTGCAAAAATTATTTTTACGGTCTCACGCGAAAACCGGAAACTTTTTAAAGTCGTATAAACTGTGATCCTGACAGGTTAATCGTGTGTTCATTACCTTTACCTTCAGATCGGCCGTTTTTTCTTGCACGGCCTCAGCTTGTTGAAAACCAGAATTTATTTTAGGTGTTGAAACTGAGTAACAAATTTTCAAGAGTTGAAACAACTGGGGACTACCCTTTTAAGTTTTTATCTTTCTTTCTTTCTTTTTTTAATTTTACTGGAACTAAACAGAAACCCTGGTCGTTAAAAAAGTCAGTTCTGTGACGCAAAAGCAGCTACTATAATGTATCCGTTACACTTTCGAAAGTTTTAGTCCCTCGCATTATATAAAATATCCATAGGAGCTTGTTTCTAGTTTGATAGTGAATTTGTTTACAACCTTGAATTGCGAAGCCAGTCGTTACATATCTAGTATACAAAATTCGGCAGCAACCTTTAAACCACCGATTAAAAAACTGGAAAAGAATAAAAATGAAAAGAGGAAGAACAAAATAATAAAAAACCAAAACAATAAAGTGTTTTGGAGAAACCGACTTACGTGCGAAAGCTCTGCGTTGCAGCCTGTTGTCGAGTGCTTGCTATGCAGAAAAATGTATTGCGTGCCGCACCTTTCTTACTTTTATGGAAAACCAAATCTGTAAACGGACACAATGCCCCTATCAAGAAAAAGTACAATGCGACTTACAGCGCAATGAATTGTTTACAAAACGTAAATAAAATATCACCGCAAAGAAAAACATGGAGAAAAAGAGCGCTATTGTTAGTTCACGCTTTATTCAGAGAGGAAATAAAACGGATTGGCAGCTAAGCCTATATTAACCTGTGTTCTGTTCAAGAATATCATGCAGCCTAACTAAATCTTGAAAAAAAGGGCACGGGGCACAAAACGGCCAGAGCAGCTAGGAACATATTAAGGGCAAGGAGAAAGTATATTCTATTATTAAAAGATAAATAGGGAGAGCGAGTCAGGTTCAGGTTGTTGTCAGAGTTTGATCAGGTGCAAAAGTTTTCGTCCTTCAAAGGCGCAAAGCATTAGGCGCTTTCCTGAAAGGAAGTTGAATACAAGAGGGCGCAGGTATTGTGTTGTCAGGGTCATCATGAATTGAAGTTAAAGTAGTAGTACATGTACATGTACAATTGGGAAAACATTCAGTGCAATCTCCAGTTGATACTTGTCAAAAGCGACAAGTTTGTTTGTAACTATTCGTAGCAATTTGCAACTGTTCGTGGCAAATGTAAAATGATTTAACTGATTCTCAACTTTTACCTTAGGGACTGTGCAGTGATTATCCGGAGGCTAGGGGTGTGGGGTTGAAAACAAAATGCGGCTTGCTTAGAGTAATGTTATGACCCTGTTATGTGGCGCCCCATGCCAACAAAGGCAAGCTTTGCTCCGATGCAAAAATTACATCATTGCTCATTTTATGACAAGTGGTGAACGTATAAAACAGCATGCATGTCTGAGGATAGATGAAAACACAAGAGACAACAACAGAGCAGAGAAAACAAAGATGAATCAAAGCCTGTTGTGTTAAATAGAAATAACCTAAAATGTCATGTGAGCACAACTGCTCATGGTTTTGGTACTTGCTAGACCTTTGTTAATAATTTGACGACAAAAGAATCATGTTTTATTGACATCAGACCAGCACAGAAAGAAGTCAGTATGATTGTTAGTGAGACAAAAGTGGTACAAACCTCGCATTACGAACGCCCGCTTTATACGGACACTTCATTATTACAGACAGTTTGCTTTGCCCTTTGGGAAAGAAAGCCCTTACATTCTATGTAAATTCAACTTTTATTTCTGACAGATGTTTTTAACAATCATTTGCACAGAAAACTACAATACATTATGGAGAAAATCTGTTTTCATTATCTTGACTGCCGACCAAAGTTTTTAGATCAGTAGAGAAAAATGTGGCTGGTGCAAATATTTTTTGGAAAGTTAGTGTCTGCAGAAAATGGAGAGATATTCTGTCATCCGCACTAGCCCCATGCTTTTTTTGCTATAAGTATGGCTTAGGGAAAAAAAATCAAGGTTAATGTAATTTTATTTTTTAACATATGCTTGTCAAGGAATCAAGTCTGTTTCTGGCTAGGTTTAGTTATTAAGCGCATCCTACATGTATATCAAAGTAGAAACTTCTAAGTTCTGGTGTTTTACACTCCTAAAATATTCCTTCACTTAAACCAAATTGAGGTCTGACCAGTTTTCCCAAAACTGTTAGCAGTGTACCACCCACGATGATTGTATTCAGGAATCCCACACGGTACATCCGGCTGGAAATTGAACTGAGTGCAACCAAAACGCTGGTTATGTCCAGATCCGGAATGCACACTGGGAAAAAAAGGACCCTTGTCAAAGGATGCATGTGAGGCTTTTTTATCATTGAAACCGTACCCGGTGGGGTAAGAGTCACCCCATGTCACCCCCAAGGCCTCCCCCAGTGCAAATCTCAAGTATGTCCCACTTTCGCCCTTAAGCGCTTCAACAAAGAACTCCTGGACATGCATACGACCCGGCTGTCCGCCATGATAGCGATTGTGATTGGCAAAAGAAATGTTATAGGGGTTATCCTTAAGAGAAATCCGGTACACGTATTGATATTGACCGATTCCCCCCGTGGCTGGGTTGTTACCGGCAGCCATGATCATATAGCGAGCATTGTTGGCCATGTTTACTGCACCATGCGGAAGATCGACGAGTCCATTGAGGGAACTGCGTTTGGTGGGAAGCCAGGCGTAACCAAAAGGATTGTTCATATTTGGAATGGGCTTATTGTTGGTACTTTTGCTGCTTGCGCCACCTGTGTAAACGTATCCGTAACTTGCTAGCATCCACCCACCACCGGCAAAACTCATATCACAGTACGTTTGAGCTCGGGCTGTTTCACCTTGTGGTTGGATCCAATACAAGCCACTGCCCAAACTATCACCGGCGTTGAGGATTTCCTGAGCGTTCTGTGCAGGGTTGTTCTTGGTTCCCAGCCTTGCTTTTTCACATTGAGCACCAACATAAAGAGGTGGACACTTACAGAGGCTATCACCGATACACGTGCCACCATTCTTGCAAGGATTGCTTGCACACTTGCCTTAGAAACAGAAGAGAATGTTTATGTTAGTACATAGCAGCGAACATTTACTAACTATAGTGAAGACTCATGTAAGGAGCCCCCGTGATTGACGTTTCGTTATTATAGAGGAATACAATGTCTAATTCCGAGCCGGGGCTTCTGCACGAACAGAACTGCCACCGTAACTAAAGGGGCAAGTAAGGAGGCGTTACCGATCAGGCCCGCCACAAAACAAGTGGGTAGATTTAGTAAAGACATCACGACGACAGTGACGACGGCCCGCCCGATCTTAAAACCAAATTGGCCCATGGCAGAGCGGTAACTGAGTACCGGGAGTCGGGCTCAGTCCTTTGCGTCCACTTTCGCGTTTGCATTAGACGTTTTGTTGATTTTAGCCAAATCTGATTTCTATCCACGGTGCCGTTATGAAGTACGTGTATCTACAGTGAATGTGAGCGTGGCCGTTGATACAAACCACCTTTGTTTGATATGGAAATTATGCTTTAAAACTAATAGTTAGCGTAATAAGAACAACATGAGTTACATAAGAAAGCAGAAAGTGTTTATCAAAACAACGTCAACTCCAGCCTTTTTTCCATCTATAACTGTAAAATGGCCTATTTAAGAATACTATATTTTGTGGGAAGAATACCGACGGACCCCCTTACAGGAATGGGAGTCTGACCCATAACCACTGATAGGCCACCAGACTCGGCTGCTAAGACTGCTAACCGTCGTACCCTAGGCCTGTCACTTTCAAAGTTGTTCCTACGGGCCTGCCATTGTTTTAGATAGAGTAGAAATACTTACTCTTTTGACAAAATACTCCTCCGTAACCTACTGGGCATTTGCGCATAGCAGCAGTAGGACCTGCGCACTTCCCTCCGTTGCGGCAGTAAAGTTCTTTGCAGACTTCAGGCAAACGAAAAAGGGGGGGTTAGAATCCCAGCTAATCCTAAATTGATCTTCAAAATACGTGGAGATGAATAGCGTTAACGTTAACGACAGTTACTGAAATATTTGTCTTAAGGGTGGCTCGATAGGGTTCTTCAGGGTCGATACCTCCCATGTTTGAACATAAACTATGTCACCATTAACAAAGATTTGGAAAAATTACCACTACAGCTGTACTAGTATAGATAAAGATCAACATTTGTTATGATCAAGGTTATAATGACATCGAAGTTGTCATAGCAAAGAAATGACGCCATAACCTTTTTGAGTTGCAGCCGTATTTCTCGGCACTAGGAACTCTTCTTCCAAAATCTTTCAGAAGAGCGTTTTCCTCCAATAGCCGCCTCGATGTTCGTGAAGTTCAAGCAAGAGATATGAGAAAGTTATCGAAAAACCTGGACAAAAAAAACTGGACAATCTTCATCTTCAATCTGTAGAAAAAGAAGGGCTTTTGAAATGTAATTTCACGTCTTAGTAGTTTCGATCTTTTTAAAAGCGTATGTGGAAGATCATGGAAAATGCCTTAGCCGACTGCTAGAAAGACGGATTTGATTGGTATGTACAGAGGCACTCTTGTTAGCGGTTTTGTAAACATTTTGCTCCACTTAAGCAGATAAGCGAATAATTTTGCCCGGCTAAATACATATATATATATATATATATTTTTTTTTTTTTTGGAAAAATTTAAGATTCTCGAGATTAATCGTCGTTTTATACGACCTTTGAGTTTCAAGATTATTAATGACTATTAAGGCAGTAAAATAAGAGCTACAATTCGTTAAGTTTTTGTTGGAAATTGTGAGAGCCTCTCGTCATTCAGGGGTATTGTCCCCAGGTTTCATATTTTCGTGGACAACAATTGCCAACATTTCGGCATATTTCAAATGCATCGTTAGTTACTGATGTTTCCCGCTCCTCCCATTTTCAAAGGGAAAGGCCCTGGAGTCGAGGTTGGGAGAAAGACTGGAACAGAAAATAAGCCCTTGCCCAAGTCTTCTAGTCTAAGGTCTCAGGGGATCAATTATTGTATAACGCCTAATCACTTTTAATTACTTCCTTTTCTTGCAAAAGGTTAAGCACGCAGGCGATAAGAAAAATTAGTGAAAAGATAATGTGCCTTCTCTCAAACATGCTCCTTTGTTGATTGACAAAGTTATTAAAAATAAACACTTAACCAAGGGTGGTGTATAAGTCTTAATGTGAACATTTTAAAATTAAATCAAATGGCTTTGAAACGTCGTCACAGCAAATATTTTCGATCATTCTTACTTGTTATCAATTAAAGAAACTGATAATAGGTTTCTCAGTTGTAGTTGATTATCTTTTGAGTTGAACTTCTTACCGTCACATTCCTTACTGCTACAGTAACTGATAAGAGACGCTTTCATTTCCTCGCATTTTACGTCTGTCAAGTTATTTTTACAGTGAATCATCTCGGAGAAATTTTTGCAGCTTTCCACGGCATTTTCCAGTTTATCAAAACACTCTAGACATGATGCTGATTAAAAAAAGATAAAATTAAGAGTTGCAAGAAGCTTTTATATGCTGACGATAATGGGTTTAATTGGTTTTATTCTGGAGTTCTTGTCTTTATCCAAGGCGCGTTTGTTCCTAGCCTGAGAACAGCCGAAATTTCTCGATGCCATCCACCACTGGTTTCCTCAAGAGGAGCGCCGAGAGATTCCGCCATACTGATAACGTGTCACTACAAAGATCTGGGTCGTGCTTCTGATTGGTCGTGCCACTGGGGAAATTTGCTTCAACCAATCAGAGGCTGCTACTCAGATCTGTATAGTGATATTTCGTCAGTATGGAATTTCTGCAGTCGTTCAGAGGTCGTTCGCAAGGGATCCAGTGATTACGTCGCGAAATATCGGCTGTTTTAAACTGCGTAAGAAAACGGAACTTTGTTCATCGTTTGAAAGTCTCATGAAATGACAGAATAAATTCTGAATAGTTTCGTTTTTACTATGGTAAAGGACGGATTCCAGAAAAGACAATTTGAAGACAATTTGAAGGTAATGATAGTCTCTCTTTGGATCGTGAAGGAAACTGACAATTACTGAACCATTATATATTTTTTAAATGAGATAAAAAAGGGCGGCTATTTTTTTCATTGTTTGTGTCCTCTTTTTTTTTAATCAAATTCCCAAAACTAACAATTGCCTTTCGTACCATTGTGTAAACTACAGGTGAGCTTCAAAGCAAGGTACAATATAGATACCAGTTCCCAGCAGAGAAAAAGCCCCTGAATAAATATGTGCGGGGGCGGATCTAGAGTAGTACGCAAGAAAAGGGTCAGGTTAATATGGGCATTTCATATTCTCTCGAAAGAGCGTAAGGCAACATTGATGCAAGCTAGCCCAAGAAAGGCGACATTGATCCAAGTTAGCGAGAGGGATTCTTTAATACTAACCTTTTGCACTATACGTGCTGCAAATCTTCTTTAGCCTTTGGTCAAGGTCGGTACAAATCTTGTCAACCTTTAGATGAGAACTGTTGGATCTGCGACATTTTGCATTAGCCGCCGCTGCTCGCTTTACACATTCCTCATAAGTCACATACTAAAACATGAAAAAATGGCGAAGAACCAGCTATTTGGCATACAATGTTAGTGTAGGGGCTATGCTGAAACATTTTTCCTCGTTATCATGCATACTTGTATCAACACACACACTCGACATATTCAAAAATATCGGTTCCTGGCCAGAAGTGTTTATTCAAGTTAGGGCGAGCCGATAGGTTACATTAACTGCATGATCAGTCACGTGATTTTGTGGGACACAACAGAGATGCCCATTCCTGGCTGCTAGGAAGCCCCTGGGATAAAAAAAAATTGTTCGGGGGCAGCTTTAGTGGCCACGAAAACAGGGAAAAGGTCCATGAGAGACGCCACTAATGATTAATGAAAACTTTTTGAGGGGAATTTAGAAAATAGCAAGTGATATCTTCGATTGACCAATACTGAACAAATACTCTTCTGCTTAAGAAACTTCTCATCACTATTATTGTACTGTAACGTCACCGAATGGACAATTGTCTAAAGAAATCTTTGTGCTCTCCCCGACTTATACCCACCTCTTCACACTTTCTCTCTTCTTGCACAATGCCCGGTTGACTCGATGAATTGGGAGACTGCAACAAGAGGCTCAACGTCACACAGGAGCTTACGGTGAGGACGGTTAAAATGCGCATGGCAAGATACAGAATAGTACGTTGAATCTGCAATGACATGTTAAGTATATAGGCAAACAGTTATCGACCTGAATTACGAGAAAATAGATCGATCTGTAACTTTCATCCAGGAAAGTACTGGCATGGGGCTCTATGGTAAAAGATCTTGAATCAACAGCGTGACAATTATGGGAAAAAATAAGCTGTTTTGGGTAATTTTAGGTTCTTGCCATAACAGTACTGTATTAATTCTCGTGGGAAACGTTATCCTCTTTCCATAAACTTTCATGGAAACCCGAACACTTTTAAAGAACCGAGATAAATGGAGGGGGAGGTACAGGAGGGTAAAAACTCCCTCCTCCCCACTTTTTGGGGCAGTTTCTCCCTCCTCCCTAAACTTGGTTTAAAATTGACGACGGGCAACGCACGACTCCTACACGTAGTCGTAAAGGAAGTTATCTGACCTTCAAAACTTCGCCTCTACACAAACATACCACAAGAACAGGCCGTAACCACAGTATGTCACGCACACGAAGATTTTTACGGAAAGAGAGCACCAATACCTAGCAAGTAGCTAAAAGAAATACTCTTTCTTATATTAAGAGAACACTCGCTCCAATTTTGCCGTAGCAACTACCTAGAGACCCATGGAACAGCCGTGGGAACAAAGAGGGCCGTTGCTTTCGCTAACAGTGATTTTCATGGCCAGAATAGAAAAGGCTAATTCACCCCGTTCGTTGAAAGCCAACACCCCTAAGATCTATCCAACCTTCGGCAACAAACTTTAAAGCCATCGAAAATTACACTTTAAAAAGTAACAAAAACAGCAACGACAACAAGAAAGTGAAGTCCAACAGAGACAGGCCTAGACGAGCGACCTACCTGAGAAAGCACTGTGGCAAGTTCTGTTTCTTGCTTTACCGAGTAACAAATCAGAATGCGTCACTGCCTTTAATTTCGCCGACTGAGTTTTTGTATACCGAAACAATGTCATTATTTATGAAAGAGAGCAATGAAACGGACAGACTAAAATGTTTACACTGTAAGATAACTACTATCTTTCAAAAAAGAAAATGGAATATGCGTTCCATCATGCGCCCACTATCACTCTTCGATCATTCAGAAAGCACTGCTGACAGAAGAAAACAAAGCACCTACCTTCATGACTCTTCTCGCCGCGAAGAAACATGTCCTCGAGGACTATACTCCCGTACGGGAAGTTAAACGTATAAAGAATTTTTTGGTTAGCATCGAAAAAGATTTCCGTTCAGTTAAGTGAGCGGTGTCAAAATATTTGAATAATCGCCCCAGACGTTGTCATTTGCAATGTATACTTTGATTAATTATTTCTGTATTGCAAGAGAAAGCAATCTCATGAGAAAAATAATGTGTTAGTCAAATCTTTGAAAAAATTTGGCTATTTTTGGACTGTCAAAGGGAAAACAAAGTATGATCGGTTTTTGGTCATTTTTGGATTGAGTTTAACTTGGAAAAGGTGGCCTTTTTTTTCTAAGTCTGCTGACATGTTTTAAGCTTAAGACAAGATCGGGTTGCCCATAAGTGAGATAACTAAAATGTTTGACAGTATCGATGGGTTACCGGATTTTGTCATCCATATCCAATTTTCGGGTACTTTCTTTAAATAAATATTTGTCCTGAATAGAAAAAAAACGATGGCATTTATGATAACTTTTGGCTAGCTTAGGCCATGCAGGCTTTCATTGGAAACTTATAAGATTCGCTTCTTGCCACAAAAAAAGGGCAGGGTATTCCTAGAGCGTATCAAGGGCGCAGTTTGTCAGAAAGTATATTATCAACCACTTTGAAACCATTACAAACTCATTTACAGAACAAAACCAAACACAGCCTTTTTTTTTTCAAAATTCCTCTGGGAACAATTTTATAAGTCGTCGAGACGTGTACGTCAACATTGAAGTTGCCATGGTAACGGAGTATTTTAAAATAAGCCGTTTGCTTCTATTTTCGTTATTGAATTATTGATATTACTCTTAAATTAGCTTTATTTCATAAATTTATCATAACTGTTGTTATATTGCTGGAAATTTTTCCCCAACAGCGCGCCAGACTCACTGGTTACTTCGAGGTCACATGACATCTAACAGTAAAACTGTCTCCCGCCAAAAACTCTGAGTAGGCAACATGGCAAAATCTATGACATCAGAGAGTATAACAAAGCACTGTTACCTTTGAATGTTCACCGACGACCGCCGTTACAGCGAGGTTTAATGAATTTCCAGCTTCAAAGTTTCCAGCTATATAACAAATCACTTAATATACAAAGTGACTGGTCCCTCCGGAAACAGTTTATTTTGTTTTCCTCGAATCTTAATGTTTTCCATTGAGAATCTCGTGAAACAGAATTCACTGTTTTCAGGAGCGCATTCCTGGCCAGCGGTTTGCTAGCCTTTCAGCTATGTTTTTTTTTCCAAATTTGTGGGTAAATCATCTCTATAAAAGTAAAGATATTTCATACGCGAACGTTGTAACTCTCGAGTTCCAGCTTTTGCGCTAACTTGAACGGAAATGCTCTAACTTGAGTCTGTGGACAAAGTCCTATGGTGTGATCGTCAAACGAAACCTCTTTGGCAATGGTTTTGCATAGTTCTAGTGTCATTCAGCATTCTACTAAGTGAATTTGGAACAAACAGTAAACAACATGTTTCTGGTAAAAGTTCAGAATCTTCCAGACAAACAATAATTGCGGAGTACCACAAGGTAGATTACTAGGTCCCCTCCAATTTCTACTTTACGTCAAAGTATCACCTATTACTCCTTAGCTTTCGAATTTTCGTCTATGACCCATTATTATTATTCATTCAAAATATTTCCCCGATTCTGATTGGCTAAAAACACACGCATAATTCACCATAACCAACTGCTGATGACCAAATTTGGAAGAGTTTTGCGTTTAATGAACCGATGACGTCAAACGTGCAGCTTTCTTGCAGGTTAATGCACCGTTAACCGAAATTACCTGGGCACGAGGTTGAGTTGTTTTTGTTGTGAAAACAAAAATGGCGAACAATTCACTCCTTTCAAGAGTAAGAACTAGGCGAAATAATAGCTAAAAACATGGCAAGAACAGCAAGATGACAACTCGAAGGGCGACATCTGCTATTTGGAGAATATTTGCGGAGCTGAACAACCCCAAACGTGCACTATCGAAGATGAACTTAACATCGATGGATCGATGGAGGTAAGCATGTTTTTGCCATGTTTTTAAACTAGGAATTATTTTGAATGAATAATAAAACCATTATTGAATTCGGCTTTCGTATCATAAGAAGGGCTCGACGGATAACACCGTCATCTTCCTCGATCTCCATATCCATGGCAACAGGCTAGGATGGTGACATTACATTTTTGAATTTCAGCAATTTGAGAAGTCTGCGTCTCCCAGGATAGGCTAATGGAAGATCCTAAGAGTAGGTTTTTTATGTTTTTTATATATATATTTAAGCAATAGACCACACTTTCTATGGGTTTACCGGCGTGATAACCCACGCGGGATGTTGGGAGAACACGAGAAAAAGCTTGTAAATCACGAGCCGAAGGCGAGTGATTTACAAGCTTTTCGAGTGTTCTCCCAACATCCCAAGTGGGTTATCACGCCGGTAAACCCATAGAAAGTGTGGTCTATTGCTTTTATAAAATAACTTTTAGTAGAATGGAGTCTTTTCGGTAAAAAATATGGTTTTAGTACCGTGATCAAGTCACGTCTTCTCTCTAAAGTCATCATAAGCCAATCATGACTCACGATTTAATAGCGTTGAACTTTCTTAAAACTCAGTTCAGTAAAACAACAAACAGCAGCACTTCAAAACACGAGTTTTTGCACTCATTACATGATAACTTATGAAAGCTGTTTTACAGGAAAAGTCAACATTTATTCAAGCGAACGTACAATGAAAAAATACGTTCATGGTTTGTTTACTACCGAAGTAGAAATTAATTGAACATCAGACTGTACGCCGCTGTATTTTGTTGAGCCGATCAGTAAGAATTTTGTGCTTACAGACGGAACTGGCAGCTATTGTAATGGAGGACTTCATTCACATTTTACAAGCCGCAGTGGTTTCAGATCTGTTTTCTGGACTTTATTATGATTAAGAAATGCTGCGGTAACGACGTGGCTGCATTTGCGAAGTTGTCGCATGTAACTTTCATATGCACGTACAGCGACCGATGGAAATATGTCAGTGGTGGAGAAAAGTTTCTTTGCCGTAGCCACATATTGGCGTTAATATTTGTCGATTTGTAAAGTCATGCAGGTGGTTTGAGGTAGGTTATGGCATCCATATCACCGAATAATTTGTGCAAATGTTGGAAAAAACCAGCCCGAAACTCTGACATCTTTCATCATCGTTGGCAGCTTGTTTACAACCTACAGTGGCCGATTTTGTACCATATCTTGATCAGAGATCTCTTTTTGGAACAATTTCTTTCATTAAGGAATTTAATTTTGACATAAAATAAATCAAGAATGCTAAAACTATCCGTTTTGTTGCTGGTTGGCACATGGTCAAGTTTTCCTGGAGACTTTCTACACCAGAAATTCACACAGTTGTTGCCTTTCTCAGCGATTTGGCATCGTCGTGAAATGTAAACTGCTTTCCAGCTTTGTACTTTATTACTTCTAAAGCTATGGCAGTAATAAAATGTGGAAACCAACGCTTTTGATATTAAGAAGGGCTGGGTAAGTAACTTGTTCTTTTTTTAGCCTTTCTAAAATCATTGTTTGCAGATCAATAGCCGGTTTTGTTTATGGCGCGTGGTCCGGATGCCTTTTTCTATGGGTTTACCGGTATAATAAACCATAGGTTTTTGACCAATCAGATCACGCGTACTATCTCAGTTATTTTATAAATATATATATTAAAGGTTTTCCGTTTACAAGTAACTTAGAGGGCAGCGTGGCCAAGCGGTTAGACCTCTGAACTTCCAATCGTCCAGCTTCAATTCATGCCTTGCCCGGTAGAGCTGAGGACTGACTGGGATGGCTTGCCTACTCATGATCTTGTCATATTGATATTTGATTTATTTATTCAAGTTATTCGCTCATTACACACTATCCCGTCTACCTTTGCGTAATTAACACTGCTGAGGATAGACAAAGTTGATTTAATTTCATTCTTAATGCTTGTCCAACAATCAAGTTTGTCGCTGGCAGGCGCTAGCGCAACTTACAGTAAATTAAACCTAGGTACTTCTCTATGCTAGTGCTCAGGTTCCTAAAAAAAATCCTTCATTTGAACCAAATCGAGGTCTGACCCGTTTTTGCGAAAGTGTTGGCAGTATACCATCCACGATGGGTGTAGTAAGGAGACCCCCCCGGTACATCCGGTTCGAAATTGGTCGGAGTGCATACAGAACACGGGCTACGTCCAGATCCGGAATGCACACTGGGAAAGAAAGGACCCTTGTTAAAGATCGAAAATGGGGCGTTTTTTTCACTAAAACCATACCCTGTGGGGTACGAGTCGCTCCATGTCACCCCTAAGGCCTCCCCTAGTGCAAATCTCAAGTATGTCCCACTTTCGCCCTTGAGGGCTTCAACAATGAACTCCTGGACATGCATTCGGCCTGGCTGTCCGCCATTATAACGATTGTGATTGGCAAAGGAAATGTTATAAGGGTTATCCTTAAGGGCAATCCGGTAGACATACTGGTATTGATTGATTCCTCCCGTGGCTGGGTTGTTGCCGGCAGCCATGATCATATAGTGAGCAGTGTTGGCCAAATTGACAGCACCATGAGGGAGATTAATGACACCATTCGAGGAACTACGCTTGGTAGGAAGCCAGGCGTAACCAAAAGGATTGTTCATGTTCGGTATGGCCTTGTTGTTGGCATTTACACCCGTTGTGTGAACGTATCCGTAACTTGCTAGCATCCAAGCTCCACCAGCAAAACTCATATCACAGTACGTTTGAGCCGGAAGGGTTTCTCCTGGTGGTTGAATCCAGTACAAACCGCTGCCCAAACTATCGCCAGCATCAAGGATTGCCTGAGCGTTTGGTGCGGGGTTAATCTTAATTCCCAGTCTTTTTCTGTCACATCGAGGTCCAGAATAAAGAGGTGGACACTTACAGAGGTTGTCACCGATACACGAGCCACCATTCTTGCACGGATTTCTTGCACATCTGCCTTAATTCAGAAAATTATAAAACCATCTGTCGCGAACTGTTTATTTATTTATTTATTTATTTATTTTTCACAATATTTAGTGCAAAGGTAAGTTCCCTGTTAATTGATGTCTCCTCGTCGTGGAGGTAGGAATAGCCCATTTTACAGTTAACAGATGAAAACGAGGCTGGAGTTTGTCTTGTTTTGATAGACCCTTTCTTCTTTATTACGTTAATAATGCTGACTAGTGTCTTTGAACGATACATTCCATAAGAACAGGAAACAAGTTTGTATCAAAACAAGGTCATGCAACCTCGACGCCTCACGTTCACTCAAAGGTAAGCCTGGAAAAGCTTGCGACTTAAGCTACTAAAAGGCTGAGATACTAAACCCAAAACAGTAAAATGGTCTTTTATATGAAACCTTGGGGTGCTGATGAAGCCAGTAAGGAGAAGTTATCTATCCGATCAGCGTGAAAAGTAAATAAATGACTCCCATTCAGGCCACTCTCCAAGGTATCTATGAGACCCTTCCAATAATCAATGTGATTTCAAAGCGCGCGTCATGATATTCGTATAAGTACAGGTCCCATTTTCAGCCACGAAACGCAAACCTCCCATCACTCTAATATATATAATAATACTTACTTTTTTGACAAAACGCTCCACCGTATCCTGGCGGGCACGTGCACCAAGCAGCAGTAGGACCAGCGCACTTCCCTCCGTTGCGGCAATAAAGTTCTTTGCAGACTTAAGATAAAGGAACAAAATAAGTCACCGGTATATACGTAAAGGTGAGTAGCGCAAATGCATGTACTATATGAAAGAATTATAAGGATTTGCACAAATTTGCTCCAAAAATGTAAAAACTGAGCAGTAAATATGGGCAACGATAGTTAATGTCACATTTACCTAGAACAATAAATTTTAAAGTACGGGATGTAAATAAGGAGGCAAAAGCGGCATTTGCCATCTTTATATCCCAGATTTAGTTCTCTGTTTTCACAATTTTGCCAGCGGTTTTCATGTTTCCTGGCAAAGCATAAAACTCTATGTTTACTGCCCTTGACTTGCAAATGGCGTGCTTGTTTACGGCATTTTACACCAGCTTTTATAATTCCAGCTAATCTTTCTTTAGAGGTTTTTTGAGTTTCAAGTGGAACTTACTTACCTCCACATTCTTTGTGAGTGCAATGCTTGATGAGCGCCACCCTGGTTTCGTTGCATTCACTGGTCATGGCGTTAAGATCACAGTTGACATTTTCGGAAAACATTTCGCAGTTTTTCAAGACCTTTTCCATTCGTTCAAAGCAAGCCAGGCAAGAAGCTAAAAAATCAACAGACAAAACGTAAGCTGAAACAAAAAAGAAAGACTAATCCGGGAGTTTAGTGAAAAGTTCATGTGAAATTGGGTGTTGGCCGTGATTGGAACTGAAAAATAACAGTATTACAAGAAAATTTAAGTGGAAACAACTTTATACATACTACAGGTGTATATAAAATTATTTACATGAAATGAGAAATTATGCAACATTATAATATTTTGGTGACATAAATAGCACGATATTTCGCCGAGAAACTAAAACAATACAGCGCCTTTCGAAAGTAAATTACCGTCCACAAGGTGACGTTCAAGTATCTAATTTCACTATGCTAATTAGCTCTGACCTAGTTTGCATAATATAACAACGTCACAAAATGAATTTGTAAAAACTTGCTAGTCGCTCTGTTTTGCCTAGATATTGAAGCAAAAAATATGTTTCTACTGTATTACACAAAATAGACAATTTTCCTGGCAAAATTACACTATTAAAAAATTGTAAAAAATAATTATGCAGAAATATGCCTTGTTTATGTTTTTTATTGCGGAATGTTATGGGTTTCCTGAGACGGCATTTTTTTTTTTCTGAAAGTTTAATTTTTGTCCTTTCCAAAGCGGTATAGCTTTAGAAGGCACTGTAAATAACAGCACAGATATAATTTTAAAAGGTACATGGTAAATTTGCCAAACAGAGGAAGACAATGAGTTTTAAGGATTGGTCGCAGCCACAATGTCCTGCTGTTCAACTTGCAAAATTTGCCCCATGTAAGGGAATAAAAGACAATCTTGGATTCTGGATTCCACGCCGTGGATTCCGGATCCTAGGTACTGGATTCCCCAGGCTTTGTCAGTGGAAGTGGAATTCTGGATTCTAGTTGTTAGTAGGATTCAGGATCCTGGAGCTGTATCTTGATTCCACGTGCAACAATTTCCCCCATTCCGAAATCCGAAGTCCCTTTCATGGGTGAGTGAACGTTTGTTGCAGCCAATAATGAAGGGATAACACAGCATTTGGCTGTACGTTGACGTATTCCTGGCCCGCTGAGGCAAAATACAAGCCTAATAATCAATTTATCTTTTGATTATTGAGGAAAAGGAAAATTGATTATAGTTATTATTTAAAATCAGGAAAAAAGTGCTCGCATGTATTAAGGATCCTAAGATGCTCGAGGAGAATACGTCATGTGAGCGATCTCCCAGGTCATCAAACCCAATTGTCCATGCCTGCGATTTTCAGTCCGTCAGAGTTGACGTTCAGTTGAGAGTAAGGATTCCGCAATTGAAAGGATTCCGCTAAACTTATGTTCTTCGATAAGCATCTAATAATAATAATAATAATAATAATAATGGAATTTATATAGCGCTTATACATCGCTGTTCTAAGCGCTTTACAATGTAAAAAAGAACATAAGAATATCATTAAGCACAAGCTTACATATAACCCTACTGTACACATCTTAAAAAGGAAAGAAAGAAAACAAAAACAAAAACAAAAACAAATATGACGAAACTAAATGTCCTATACCTTTTTAAATTCCCTGCTAGCAGAGGTCTCTCACGACGAGGCAAAAATGAGAGAAAGGAGAGAGTCTCTCTCCTTTCTCTCATTTTTGCCTCGTCGTGAGAGACCTCTGCTAGCAGGGAACGTTTTAAAAAGAAACGTTTTCAACTTAGATTTAAAAAGATTAACATCTATTTAGGTGTTTTTAAGCTATGCCCTGCATCATTTGAACACACTGTCACTTTTGATGCATGTTACACCAGTTTTTTTGACAATCAATACAAACCTTTTGCAGAGTGAGCTAGACAGAGTCTTTTCAACTTTTCTTGATATCCATCACAAATGTCATTGAAGCTAACCGAGAGCTGCGTCTCGTCGGACTGAGCACGGCAGTGTTCGGCCGCTTCGTATACTTTTTTCAAACAATCCTCATAAGTCAGGTACTGCAGAGATAGGCAAAGAAGATAATAACTGACTAAACGTCATATACGTACTAGGTGAGGTAACTTACTTATTCAGTTTTGTTTGTGCATTTTTTTTTGCTTAAGAAGAATAAAGGTCATTCACATTTGGCCCTTGAAACAACAACGTCATGCATGGGTCAAAGCGGCTTTCAATCATACCCGGGCTTTCACAGTCTGATCTTAATAAATGAGATTCTTGTTTTTGTCTTGGTTTTATCATTGCATAGCTGAATGTTGTTGGTATTTCTTTTGCTCTTCAACCTCGGCAAGCCCTCGTATAGATTTGCTACAAGTCGACCTCAAGAGTTTCTTAGCGAGCGGAACGAGGAAAGTATATGTGACGGGCCGTTTTAATAAAATGACCTGAAATAGTTTTGTTACAAAAATTTGAACGGGAGATAACAATAAAAAGCTTAACATTTCGCCGCCAACAAGCTACTCTCGCAAAACCTGAGAATTGTGGGCTGGTATTTTTTTTTTTTGGTTATTTCTCTAAAAAAGTTAAGTCTTAGCTCGTCTTTCCCCCTTTCATGTTCTTTCCCAGACCCTGACGTCGAAATGTATACAGCATATACAAAAACCTAAGTTGCAGACTGAGGTCACTTGACGACGACCCAGGGTGAGATCTCACCAAAATATTCACTCACCTTTCCACATTTCTCCCGACTCTTTATAAGGTCCTGTTGTTTAGTCGCTGTCAAAGAAACATTGCAGAGGCTTAAAGCAACACAGGAAGTAAAAACAAGGGCGAAAACTGAACTGGGCATTTCACTTGAGGGTCCGGCTTCCCAAAGGTAAACTAGTTCTTGACGACATGCAAATGAACCTTCCACGATCCTTGAGTGCCTTAAAACGCGTGCATGAAAGCACGTTTTGCCGTTTTTTCCTTCAATTGCGTTTTCCGGTGAAAAGTAAATTTGTCACGTATACAAGTGTAATATGTCTCTGTAATGGACTGCTCTTCCGGTATTATCTGATCTGAGATCCGCTTTTAGCTTAGCCCGGGACACGAAATCGATGATCTTCGTGTTAATGATTTGACAGTGGCCAACTCGAAATCCTCGGCTCCTTTGGCCACTGTGCACATCCTCTCTACATTTTCCATTTATAGATATTTGAATAGTACATTTCTGTAAGAAAATTATATAATCTGTTTTTGTAAGATTAATTCATCTTAACAGTGCAAATAATGTTGAAGTTGCATTTATATCATCTAGACGTGATTGTCGGCTGCTGCAGCCGAGGCAAGTTCTCTTGATTTTGATGCAGAAAGGTACCTTTTATTCATATTTCCTGTCTCCTCATCTATGTTCGTGTACGTGAACGTAGGCAAAGGCAACCATGATTTCTCAAATGTGATAATGGCATGCATTACAGTTCTTTCCGAGTTGCCTACAATATAGTTGTTTCTCTGGTGCGAGAGGAAATCTCGTATTTATTTACTACTACATGCTCCTACAAGTACGTGTAATTCATACCCGTACACACGGAAACGGTGTATCTTAAGATCTCTAATAGCACGAAATATCCGGGATGTACAGGAACGTTGTATTTATTTTTTCCGTCAGTATGACGTTTGGAATACAAGAGATACAATTATACATCGCGGCCACGATTCCTTAACCTGCTTAAACATATGGGTCCGCCGATTGTTAAAGACCAATCTTGAACTAATATCAGGTGAATAACAAGTTTCCTTACCTTAACAGGATTCATTTCCCATGAATTATTATCAAGGTGGTACCATTAATGTAATGCGCTAAAAAGGAGTGAAAAGGAATCAGTTATTGGACATTATATTGCATGATGTTTGAACAATAAGAATGGAAGATGTAGTTTCTTTCCTTTATTTTGATGCTAAAAAAATACTGTTTGTACTGATACGCAGTTTTCTTTCGTCACTGTTATTTATGGGGTGTTGTGTGTGGTGTTCTAACTTTAAGTCAGTGGAAGAAATATTATCATGCGACCATTCAAATGAAACCTTCTTGGGCAGTTCTTTTACTGTAGTATAGCACTATTTTTTCCGGAATTTTACTAAGGGTATTTGGAATTTCTGCATAATTTTACTTTGGACCCTTCTAGGGGGTAATGATATCACAAAATATCATCAGCCCTATATGTGTTGAAAAAGGAAAACGGCAAAGTCGACAAACAGCAGTAAACGTGAAAGACGGAAACGAAAGATTGATCAAGTGGTTAATTGCTGTCGCTCCGTTTTCCCTCCACAGTCTTCGATTCATTTATTTCGAGACCAGGGTTTCCAGAGGGAGAATGGTGTCGAACTGATAAACCCTCATATTCTTGCCGTTCTAGTCAAGGCAAAAAACCTGAGAATAACAATACAAGTCATTTCGTGTCTCTAGGAAAAACTACCTGCATTAGAGACCGAGTTTTGGACACTGTACGTGCAGTGTTATAAGCTACAACCATGTATATATGTAACATGCTCGTACAAAACCAGTCAGTTTGGCAAGTGCACGCACGAGCCGTTCAGTGTTCAAATGCTTTTTGTGCACACCAAAATTGTGGTATTAGCTTGCGTTGCTGGTGGTATTGTGTAGTAGGCGAGTGAGATTTGGCGGCCAAGCCGTCACAACGGGAGTAAGCCGCGAGAAATAGAAATACCGCGGTATTTCAAACGTCTCTTCCCCACTCCCTTTTTTGGATCACGGCTCCGCCGCCAAACCTTTAATCGCGCACCAAGACAATACCGCCAGCTACGTAGGCTATTGTGGCATTGCATCTATTTTGTAGCCTTTTTAATGAGCCGAACGCTGAAGCATAACCAAAGACACATTTTTTCTTCTTCCGAGTTGTCAAAGCAGTCCATTAACAAATTACTGTACGTAGTTCAAAATCATGGGGCACTGTCAGGAGCCTAAAACCCATAAAATAAAATCAGACAAAAAAAATATATCACATGTTGAATTTCCTCCAGGCATCAGATAATCTAATTCACGCTTACTTTTTCTCCTAGGCCAAACCCTGGGAAATCAGAGAGAAAATGGGGCCTGGAAACCAAATTTAATAAGTGCGGGAGACTTTTGGTCAGCGGGCTCTCCCTCTGCCCATGCTCTTTGGCGTCGTTGTTTTGGCGTCCATTTTGAAAGTGTGGTCTTCTCAGCTTTAAATCTCTGGAACTAAGCCAGCTGTTGTGTACAGCTGTGTGTAGTGATTCCCGATGGCAGCACAAGACATGAATTGGTTAATATTGTTGAACTGTAAGCCGGATAAATAACTCCAGCAGCTTTCGAGAGAGGAGAGACTCTAGCAGAATCGGGATGGAATCACTTGAAAACTCTGCTGTGTTTTGGAAAGCGTGAACTATTTGAAATTGGAGTCATATAATCATTTATTATGTATTGTCCTGTGGTTCTTGAAGATACAAGATGGACTTCACTTTTAAGGCTAGTCAAGTTTCAAGATATGCTGGATGATAACTGAGAAGCAGATACTAATGAGGTAAGTCATACTAGTTAGACTTCTCTTTGTCAAAGGTGACCGCCACTGAGCAGTATATTAATGTGAAAATGTTACCTGTTTAATCTGATAAGTCCTGAGTATCTTATATTTCGATTCAGAGGATAATTTCACCAGTATTGAAGTCTATGAGAACATAGCCTGCGAGCAAGCTCTCCGGGGCGCTCTGGCGGCGGTAATAAGAACAGAGCGTGTGTTCTTTTTGCTGTGATGTATCGGGGTCACTTTGTTCCTCGACATATTCAGGTTGTTTAATTAACAATTATTTCACGAGGGCGCGTTGGATATGAAATGATAGAAAGCAAACGAGGCGCGTAGCGCCGAGTTGGCTATAATCATCTCATATCCAACAAGCGCGAGTGGAATAATTGTTTTATTAAAAACGCCCACAAAATCTGGTTGAATCGCCCCGACTAGAACAAACCGAAAAAGACAAGGGACTTCCGCTGTTCACATGTCAGACGTCTATCAAAACTGTCAACGCGCGAACGGACTCACCTGGACTGCATGAATGAAAAATCAAAACATTGTAGCGATGAACATTAGTTTTTCGAAAACTCATCGGGATTCTAGGATTTTACACAGCAGAACAGCTAAGAAAACCTGGCAGATAATGTGAAGGAAAAGAATTTTTAAGTGACAGCCGTCGAAATTACTGTGAATTTGGATTTTCGGTGCAGTTATAAAAGTAAGAACAACGGAGAAAAACTATTACCTCGGTCGCTTGTTATGAAGTTGTTTGAAGCCATAAGCTGGTTTTGCTGAACGAGAAAAGAAGCTATACTGCCGCCTCGATTGCTCTAGTGAATGGCTGCATAGCCTGTATTTGTAGCTGGTTACTTGTGATATATATTCTTGATGTCGGATAAACAAGCCGCAGTTATCTATCGGCGAGTGACTAGATCGGCGAATGGCTTCGCGATCATGAAGAAACAGCACCTGTCTTCTTTCGTAGCTGGTCAAGGTACTTTAGTTCCATGTGTTTTCATGTGTTTTTCGACAAACTTTCAAACAAGCTCTTGTGGCTTTTTTGTTTGTTTCTGTCTTTTTTCTTTCGATGAAATTGCATTTCTAGTATTCCAAGAAATGAATTAAAACAATTTGCTTCGGGCGCCGTTCTATCCTTCGCGAAACAAAATCTCAGCTAGCTTCCAATTATAAACTGACGCGTACACCGACCATATATGGAGAACATGGTATAATAGCTCATATACCATAACGGCTAAGCCAATCAAAATGCTAGAATTGCATTATCCACTGATTCAGTTTTTAATAATAGCAATTATTTCACGAGCACGCGTTAGCCAACAAGGCACGAAGCGTTCGCCTCTGTGGTTATTTAACCATCACATGTCCTACAAACGTGATAAAAAGGCCCGGCCCTAAAAATACTCTGACTTTATTTTGTTAAAACAAAACGGAAGAGACAAGGGAAATCCGCTTTTCACATGTCGCGGTCTCGGATTAAAACTGTCACATTTGTGTCATCGTGAACGGACTAAATGAATTAGAAATCAAAACATTATAGCGGTGAATGCTTCTTCAAACTTACCAGGAATCTAGGAAATTACTCAACTCAACAGCTGCAAAAAATCGATGATACAGTCGACTTCCCGATAACTCGAACCTTGAAGGGAAATCGAAAAAAGGTTCGAGTTAACGGGAGTTCGAGTTATCGGGAGTTCGAAGAAAATAGCCGAGAGTAAGGTAAAAAACAGTTTTTACTGCACAATCACATGTCAAGTGAAAATTAAAAGATACTTCTAGCTTATAAATCAGAACGTAACGTAACAAAACATAGCCTAAATAGAGCATGCGTTTTACTGTTTTGAGAAGAAAATCTGCTTCACGTTAAACTATACTCCTACAACACGTTAACAGGAAATCCAAAATTCAATGTTTCGGACGCCCGTAGACGGCTTTTTTCCCGACTTTTTAAGGGCTCAAAACATGATTCGAGTTATCGAGGGTAAAATTATATAGAAACTGAAAATGATCTGAGGGGAAACGAAAATTGGTTCGAGTTAGCGGGAGTTCGAGTTATCGAGGGTTCGAATCACCGAGGGTACTGAAAATTACAGTGAATGTATGACGGAAATCCAGGGGAAATCGATTTTCGTTCGATTTAGCGCGAGGTTCGAGTTAACGAGGGTTCGAGTTATCGGGAGTCGAGCGGACTGTAATATTAATGTGAACGAGTGCAGCTACAAAGTGAAATTCCCTCGGTCGTCATATACAGTAACTCGCGCAAAACTTGTTCATGAAGTTGTTTGTAGCCTTGCTAAACGAGAACAGAGCATATATACTGATGCACAGATAATTGCTTTTCATAGCCAGAGTTCATAGCCTGTATTTGCCGCCAGTTGTTTGTGGTTCATATTCTCTTCGGTTTTGTCAGATAAACATGCTGCAGATTAGTTTTCGCGAGTGACCTGACGATAACGTAAAGTCGAGTTGCGAGGGTTTTTTCCAAGTATTTTCATGCATTTTTACTTGTCCCAGGGCTTCTAGGTTGCCTTTCCTTTTCGCGTTCGTCAGAAAGCTTCCTAATGTGGTGTTCCTGTGACGCAAAGGCAGAAATTTTTCGAGCTATCACGGGCGACTGCAAATTAGCTGCCTCTATTACTTTTATCAGGGGCACCTCGGCCGGGAAACTGGACTCCTTTCTACTCGATTTCGTTCCCGTAGTTTTTCCGTAAGTGACGAACTCGGATCCGTAATCAATGATTACCTCTAGTTCTATCAATACCCTGTATTATTGCAGTCAGTTTACTGGATAAAGCAAACGTCTTCTAAATTTTTTCAACACTAGCTGGTTATGAAGAGTTACACCGGGGACTGAGCGAATCAGAAACGGAGTAAATATATTGAATGAATAATATTCCAAATGTATGACTTTTATAAATTCTTTGTTTGACTAAACAATTCTATGCTGAGGTTACACCAGAAGTGATCTGATCGATATCATTAACTTAAGTTAAGTTAGACTAAGTTTGCAGCGTTTCCGTATTTTCACACGCTTCATCATAGCAAGAAACCAAGGATTTAACCTGCAGTTTGGCTCCATGGACTATCAATGGTAGTTTTTCTTTGGCCACTGCTGAGGCGAAGTCTTGGACGACACGTTTCAAGTTAACGGAGTGGCTTGTAACTGTGCCAAGTGCTTTCATATCTATCAATGCAATGATGATGTCAAAGTTCGTGCGTTCATTTGAATGCTTTGCGTTATCAGGATAAGAAATCCACAACATTTCATCTGAATTCCAGTTCGAGGCTTTGGCAATAGCAGAACCGATAGCGTGCACTAGCTGGTTGTGTGTATCATCCTCCGATCGCGAGACGGGACCATTGGTACGGCGACCTAATTGGTCTTTCTTTTCTATTCTTAATTTGGTTACTTTGACTGCACGCCCTTTAACGAGCCATTTGAAGCACTTTCCAACTTGGCTTACGACACCACATTTTCTCCCTATGT